CCCACCCCCCCCCAACATACTGTTTACATCAAAACAATACATATGTGTACATGTATAAACAGAATAATAAAAAGTCCCTTCAAATCAGTAGTTTTACCTTGACTCATTTCTTGGTCCAGAGCTAAGAAACCTTTCCTAATAGCTTCTTCAATATTCCCTTGGCCTGTAAACGGAGTATTCAAACGTTGCATAGCTGACAACAATAAATTTAAAAAACTTTAATTCTTTGGTATTAACGCTTTTATGTTATTGACTTCTCAGTGGTAACGGGGAATGTAAAAAGCTGAAAATTAGGATGAGTGATAAGAAAATACATACTTAAACATAAAAGAGAACAAATACTGACAGTAAAATTTCATGCTAGTGAATGCTTTGTGTTTGTGTTCATTTCAAACATTTTCATAGTATGGCCCATATTCAAACCTGGCACAAAAATCAAGCTCAGTTTTCTTTTCAAAACCTCTAAAAAGTTCTCTTCATCTACCTGAATGTTTCCCATAGAATAGTCTATCATGACATACTTACTGTATTCTGGCTGGCTGAGAATTTTCCTATGCAAATGATTGGCTGAGTATTCAGCTACTCTAGCACCTGTGAAGAAAAAATATACATAATATGATTTCAATTTCTCCTTGATAACTACTCAATTATTCTATTTATAAATACAAAATAAGTCTTTTCTCCACTTTGCTGCTGACCTATATACTATTCATGCTCTATCTGCTGACTGATAATAAACAGTAAACAGGATTTCTGGTATAACTGGAACCAATAACAATCAAAAACATCACAGCACGTCATTTACCTTTTTTAGCAATTTTTGGGTAACCTTTTATCTTAAACAAAGAGTATTCACCAAGCAAAACAACTGCATTGTTTATCTCTTTTTGCAATACCAAAAAAAAAAAAGTGAACAGCACTCTGGTGTCTGTACATAAAAATAAGACCAAATTATCGAAAAAAAAAAATTACTGAATAACCAGTTTAGAAATTGGCCTGCATTAAGTGCAATGAACAACCCCTGTGAGTCTGAAACAAAATTGCAACACTGATTTCCAACTCTAGCTCCTGCTCCAAAGATACTCAAATGATGACAATAAGTACATGTACAGACACTATCATGACTGTAAATACAAATGAAAGGATCAGCTTGCGCAACATGGCCAAAGTTTGTCACTTCTATTGTGGTGCTGATCATGTCACTGATCAGATGATAATATTATATCTTATCTGACTGTGAAACCATGGGGAATTCATTGTATCACATATAAACCTTATATCATATTTCCTACTCATACTGTAATTGTAATTGTATACAACACACTCTTTTCACCATTCTTATCAAAAAGTACCAACATATGAACCATTTCACATTATATTATATTTTCTGCAACAAACATTTTTTATCCTTTGAAAAACTTTTTGTCACATTTTTTACTTGAGTATTTCAATAAAGGTGAGAAGAGGCTAAAAATGAAAAGATGTTTTACAGGGTTTGATATGTTATTATGTGAAATACTTAATCAATAAGATTGTTCACTGCACTTGGAATAAGGTGAAATGTGAAATAGTTATTTTGATATTATTGTAATAAAAATAAAAACAAACACTTGGAAGCCAAAAATGTTAATATGTCCACTGTGTGTTAGAAAAAACAGAAGACTGCATTTGGTAGCCTGTCAGGAAAAAAAAATACAGTTTATAGCATTGCCAGTTTCATTCAATAACATGAAAGGGAACACACTTATCTACCTATCCTCCATGCTGGGTTCACTCTATAAGAGCACTACCTCAAAAATTTCATGGCCTGTCAATTACAATCGACTGCCTTGATAGAAGAAACAGAAAACTCTTTAATGTGTCTTAACTACCTGACAAATACTCCCTCGTTATCATAACTGCGCGCACATAGATTACAACGTGTGCAGCACATCTTAATATTGTTGGTACAACTTGGGTTGTGCACAAATCACTCGAACATGTATTTTGATTACTGCTCATTAACTAACAAGTTTCCTGGTAAGATCCTCCCATAAACCATTTCCCAGTATACAAAGGTCTACTTATGTTAGTAACTAAACATTAACACCAGGCAGTTAACCAAAATACTGCAGGCAGTGTGTTTGGACTAATGTTTATAGCTATTTTCCCACCTGGCATGTTTTACCAAGCCACTACATGCAGGCCAAGGTGCAAAGTGATTATAATGCTTTCTGGTAGACATTTGTTCCTGCTCTTTCCAAGGCATGAGAGAATAAATCATCCTTAATGATAGTTTACTACCTCCTCTTTTTTTCAAATTATTTTCCACTATGACTGCTAAGATCTCACAGCACATTTTTTTCCTGATTGCTTGTTCGATATGCCAACACTGCAATTTAACACAATCCCTGAACCAATCAGCTGTTTTGGACTTAAAAAAAGAAGGAAAATGTGTGGGGTTGAGTAAAATATGTGCACAGCTTACCTCCATGGCCATCATAAACCCCAAAGAAACTAGCTTCCTTATCACCAGGCAGTGACAGCAGGTGTGTATGAGCATCTTCCATATCTGTGACTAAGTTAAGGAAACAACAAAGTAAAAATAAAAAGCACCAGTATCACCCTTGCATATAATTTTAACTTTTTAGGTTAATATATTTCTTTTTAAGTAAGTCACATCTTATGGTTGCCCGTTGGGTAAGTCTGAAAGAGCATGTAGGGTGCACTGCTGCTCCATCTTTTTAAAAATATTACTGACTTGACTTGACATATTCTGAATTTTAAAATAATGAGCTTACTTAGACACTCGTCTCAAACCTTATAATTAAAGTACACATTTACTGTGACATGTTTTAATTCCTTTTGTTACTTAAGCAGAATATTTCAACGACTTCCCCATTCATCCTTTTTGTAACATACATTTCTTTTAAACCTATATATTCACTCTCAGTGCTTACACCTAATCCATAATCATCATCAATTTTTCTTTCCTTCCAAACATATTTTGTTATGACACTGGGTTAACTGACAACAACAAATTTTCTAGGAGCATCCTAAAATGCCTCACTTTAATTAAATCACAGTTCTGCTGGTCATATTATTGTTTCATAAAGAGAGTGGGAGGACAGATTCACAACCTGCCCACTGCTTCCATTTAGCAAATGAAAATACTTCCTAATAAGATACTGCTGTCTTAAAGAGATAAGAAAAAGGCCATCTTCCTACAGTACAGAATTATTGATCAGTGCATAATTCAATAAAGAATCATAGATACTAATCTTGGTTGATGATGTTAAGCTCTTAGATTTGTTCACATATGAAAAATAGAAAATCCTCAACTGATGACACCCCATAGAATTCTTCAAGACCATTTAATTTTATGACTTAGAATGCACCTTTAGATCCCAAGTAGAAAATGTCAGTAAAGATGTCTACGGACACAGGTAAGAATACATTCTCAACTCTCAGTTAGTAATCTTCATCTCATCTACCTTGACTCTGCCAGCTTAATGCATTTAAATACTGTTCAGTATGACTATCAGGTTACATCACATTGGCTCCACAGCTTGATCTAATAATCAACTTTTAGCTGACTTCAAGCTGTGAACCCAGCAGGTTAATTGTAATCAATACTGATGAACTAAATTTTTTTAAAGTGAATGCATAAAAGTTGTTAAAGATCAGTCTGGACCAACTTTTGCAAGAACTAATACAGAAAATTAAAAAAAAAAAAAGACTTTAACACACACACACACACATACACACACACACACACACACACACACACACACACACGAAGTGTTACACAGAGTAGTACTATGACCTAATGACACCAGCTTTGCATTGAATTACATACTTGTATTTCTTAAGTGTAGTACAGTATTATAACTGTCAAAATAAGCCTAAACAATGTAAGAACACTAAAGGCAAGATACTTAAATATTCCATCAAATTTGAATTAATTCACTGAGTATACAAGGCCAATGTTCGCTGTATAGTCATGTATATATACAAAACATTTCAATATTACCCTCATTGCTTGATATAAACCATCATTAGGTTTATACATAAAATATTACAAGGATACTTATACGCCATCCCTGCATACAAGAAGACGCTACTTTGTACAAGTGATTGCTACACGTGGATGTATCTTTGGTTGTCACTGGTTCTGATAAAGTCTGTCCCATTCTGAAAATTGAAAAACAAAATGCATTTTAAAAACTTTTATATTTTAATCAAAGGAATTCTTTATGGGCATCAATACTGCACTTCACAAAATATATTTAACCAGCATCTGCTACCTGCTATATATACACATGTATATTAACACTGGCCCCATCCCAAATTCCAGTAAAATTGAAACTGGGCTAGTAAGGTTTTATTAATATGTTTAGTTTCTGGTCACTGTTTTTCCTTTTGGTCTGTTGTTTTTTTAGACCATGTTTGCCTGAACAGCCAATAGGCTACTAGTAATTGCTTTTTTTTTTTTTTTTTTTTTTTGTAGAAAATACCAATTAGGAGGCTTAATCTGGGCAGGACAATGCCCAGCTATAAAAAACTAAAGAAGACATTGGTTTCAAAATATACTTTAAAGCATATAGGCTAAATAAAATGTCAGGGAAGCTTAATTTTCCATATGACTGACATTGAATAACACCATTTTTTTTCCTTTGTACCATTTTAATATTGTCATGTTGCTAATGACAGTGTGACTCAGAGAGGTTGATACTGATTTCATATACACATTCCAAGAGAGGTTATCATGTGACACCATGTTTTATGCATTGGGATCAGATTTGGATATGGGCCAGTTCTTTTAGAACAGAGACAGAAATAGGGACATAAAAAAGTTCAAGATAAAAAGGTTGTTTTGTAGGCAATCTACCAATGACATTCATATCATTATCTCAACAAATGAAAAATTTAATAATACTCCCAATATACCGGTAGTTCTGTTTACTGTAAACTGTACTTAATGTTTTTTTGGCATGATATTAAGGATAAAATTATGTGCATATAACATCTGTATTGGCATAGTATGGGACTGTTCACAATGAGTTTGGTCAGCCTAGCTTATGTGCACCAACTCCATGGGGACTCTAGCTGAATGGGATTTCAGATCAAAAGACAAACACATACTTGTATAATCACCAGTTTTTTTAATTTATACAAAATATAATCGACTAAACACCAAGGAGGTGGCATGTTAGTCGGTGAATCTGATTGCATTCAGTGAAAGTCCCCATGGAGTAATTAGCTAGGTTCAATAAAATTCATTGTAAACAGTCCCTATGCCATAACTTAAGCTATACTGAAAGGTTGTATTTGTTTTGTGCACTTCTGACTATTATGGCCCTCTGAGAACAGAGACATTAATTTCAAGAATGACAGTTAAAACATTATAAGATCTTTTAATTGCATAAGACATTCCATCACCTCAGGTTGTAACATGCCCCCTTGTATTTTTTCATACAGATAAGTAAAAACTAATGCTAGATGCTTTACTTGTACTTTTCTTATTACAATCAAAGAGAGAATATATATGTCAATGCTTTAGCTGAATTATCTTATCAATGCTAACTTACACATGCTTGATGTTGATAGTGATAATGGTATGTATGCTAACAGTGATAATATCATGAAATCAGTAAACTGACTATATGCAGAATAAGGCTTATCCCATCTGTGACTGTTGACATCAACAAATCAGTATACTATTGTGCATCTATATTACAGAGCAATATAAGTCTGGACTTTTCCAGCTTAGTAATCAATACCTTTGATACCTCTTTTACAAGAAAATCTCTCTACGACTACCATTGTTAGTAACTGTACTTTGTAAGTCATTGAACATTAAGTTGAGTTTCTGAATAACTGAACATATAGACTTAAAAAAGTGATATTTTGAACTATCTAATTTTTCTTTTAAGTACATTTTTGTCAAAATTTGTTTATGCAAACAATGACTCATCCCACAAAAAAAAGGAGCTAGGCTCATGTCAGCATACAGTGTTTACAAAATGTTAAAAATATAACTTGGTTATTTGTTTCGTTTTAAAATACAGATACGATAAATATTTTCGTTATTAAGAATGAAACTATGTGAAATTCTAGTCTGCGATGTTAACCACTAGCCATTATCAGTAAAATTAGGACCAGGCCACTGAAGTTTATGAAAAACAATCAGTTACTGGGCCAGTGGATTTTTTTTCTAGTTGAAACATGTACTCAAATTCGTCATATGTTTAGGTTAAATGTTAAAGTATTTTTTAATTCCATGTTTTTGTTCTTATTTGTACTTGGAAGCCTTTTTAATTTCAATGTGTTGAAAGTAAATTTGTTTTTTTTTTTTTTGTTTTGTTTTTTAATTTGTACTTAAGCAATTGAATTTGGTTCTCAGACCCTGGTGGCCTAGATGGCCCTTTAGTTAAGAAGTATTTGGCACAGACTAAAATTCAGTACACAGAAGTTATAAAATGCTGTTCCTAACACAAACTTAGCATTCAAATGTCAAGAGATTGCATTCCAGTGATTAAAGTGACCATGGCATGTGGATGGCTAAGGGCAGCACCTTCAGTAAAAGTAACAATACATAAGAGCCAGACCACCTCATTGAGAACCTGCTACATTGCATAAATATGTAAAATGAAATAAAAATACTTGGCAATAATGGAAACAACCCCATAAACTATATGTGGCACAGAAAAATTAATGAGGCAGGTTGCTCACTTTGGAAAAGGCACAGCTAATTAAATTTTATCAGCAGATACATCGACCAAAGACAATATATGACTGAATTTTGAAAAATTATTTAATGTTAATTAAAAATCAAAAACGAGTATAAGTTCGGGAGGGGGGGGGCATACTGTCAGACATAAGCAAGGCAAGTATCAATAATAGTGGCATTACTAGAAAGGTACATGTAAAAGTTGAGTTGGTCTTGTACTGGTAGGCAGACGGTATGACCGTGAGGCCTGTCATTTCACAGTGACTGTCTGAGTGTCATTACAATTTAAACACTGCACACTGTACATGGTGTTGCAGTAGTTTCAAAAATAAAATTTCAAGAAGAAAAAAGGAACGCAAACAGCAAAATAAAACATCGTGGCATGAAAAACGCGGTCTCAGTCTGAATCGGCCAATGCCTGTTCCTACCAACTGTGTTGACACTGCGCTTTCTAAACATTTATCGAACTGACAGCATTCTGCGATGACATTTATATATCCGTACTCAACACTCAATAGTTTCGCAGTTATAGCAATCATACATTTTAGTTACAATTATACTTGCCTGCCTGTTTACAATCTAACAGCAGAAGTCACTTTTCCTTCCTAGTTTTGACCGCATTACAGATAAATGCACGATGTAAATTAGACCGTTAACCTGTTTAAATCAGTAAAGCGATGCTCGCTTTATATACAAATATGTTACCAAAAAGAAAATAAAATGAACAGTTTACGGTGAAAAGATTAATAGAAATGACGGTTAAACAAATATGAAGGAAATTGCTTAAAACGCGTAGTAATTTTGACCTATTTCATTTTCTGCGGACCTAATCATATGCTTCTCTTTCAGTAATGCTAGTATTCCAAATAGAAGCCTCGTTTAAGGAAGGGCAGGGAGATCTACGAGAAAAACAAACTGAAAAAGCGCCTCGAGTTCTTTTTCCAATCATTCTAAATACAAATATCTAGTTGTCCTTTTGAAGAAAACAGAAAAGTAAAAAACGAAGATAAAGATATATTCGTGAATTCTACTTTATCTCAAAACTGATGACAGAAAGTGATAAATCAGAATTTTTTGAAATTCATGCCCTGCTAGTATGGAGAGGTTTCGTATTCAATAAAATGTTTCAGCAATGAAAGATTTCAATACAACAACTCTTTTGGCTAATATACACACGTTATTTATAGGATGTGTTCAGAATATTTCCCCCTAAAAGTAAATCATTATAACAAAAAATACATGTCTTTCAGCATAAATTACTAGATTATTCAAGTGGACTTCATTCGTATCTAACGCACGTTTATATTTAATCCATTAAATGAAACTTGTCGAACAGGTTAAATTTAATATGTCAGCGATTGGTAAGATAAGAGAAGTCGATATGAAAAGCAACAACAAATCATGATTGCGGTGAAACGTAGATTGTGTTAGTTGTGCCAAGAAATAATAATGTGCCGAAATAGTCTGCATGCAACACATCGGCTGACGCATTTCAAATTGTTCAATTAAAAAAAGTAACACGATTAGGCCTACTATTTAGTATATTTTTATTTATTAAAGTTTATTGGCTTGTTCTAGTGCCCAAAAGACTATCGGTTCATAAAACAATTTTCAATTACTATATGTTTTAAGAATAAATAATTATTAAGAAAAGATGCCTTATTTGCATATAAGGCATCCAGTTAAGTCGGTCTATATAGGCCTAAATGTCTTCAGATAAACTTGGGGAAATTTAAAATTAATATAAAAATAAGTTAATATATTTGAAATTAGGTTAATTAAAAACCCAGTATCATGATCTTCTCTTTTATTTTGATAAAAAAAAAACATCAAACTCGTTTATGGGTACAGATTTTGTCAATGCATTGGGCGGAGAGAAAGCTAGGGCTAAATGCAAGTGTATTAAATGAGAACATGGGTTACATTTTCAGACCACTTTTGAGATTATGTGCCTGATTTCCCTAGCTCTGCTTTCTTAATACGAACAATATGACATCTTTACCGGTTATTATCTGTGCACCTTCGCCCCACACCAGTAGTTTTCCTGGAATCTCTTCCATTAAGTGAAACCCTCATGTCATTGATAGATTACCCTCTACCAGGGCTGCAGATAAATTATGTACACTTTTTTCCATCGCGAAAACAGCAAAAAATCGTGTCATGAATTAGCAAGAAACATATCTGTGAATATCTAGTGAAAAATCAATCTGTGATGCTGGAAGAGGACATTGATAGAAAGCAATCAACGCTTATAAAGCCATACAATAAAATGTAATATATTTTCCTGTCGGCTATCTCACGAGGAGTGGCGAAAATTCGTCTTGGCACGGTTGTTGAGTAAAACACCTGAATTTGATAAAATTCGATTGTTGTGTAAATAGGGTAGAATGGTATATAAACTGGTATTCTAAAAGTTCACCGACATGAAACTTTATTACGGATCCGTCGATAAAATAACGTGTCATGCCTGCCCAGGGGCGGATTCAGGATTATTTGAAGGGGGGGGGGGGGGTTTCAGAAGCCTCAGGACCCCCCTGCCCCCTCCCCCCCTCTAAATCCGCCGCTGCTGCCATTTTACAGATTACGTACGTTGCTTAAATAGGTACGTTCCAGATGTTCATGTGCTATTATACTTAAATATTGTAATTGCCAATAGAATGGAACCTCGTTTAAATTTATATAAAAAGGGACACCAAAATAATTATATGAAATTCAAAATACTAATATGGGAGATATGATGACTTAGAAGGAAGTATTTTTATGACAGTTTTTCAGTGTACAGCCAGTTATTTGCATGGCCGCGTATTTGGCAAGCGTAACGTTTAAAGCTTTCCCTTTTTTTACTACTCCATTACGGTTATTTATTGATCGACTTATTACATTTAAATATGTTAAAATATCAGCGTGACATTTTTAGCAGACGTGCTCACTTTGGCAAGACATGTTAACTATCAATACAAATTCATCCTAATTTTTGGAATTTGGATTTTTCATGTGAACGGTGCCTTATTCTCAAGCGGACTATTCAAAACAATTATTTCTGTCCATTACAATCGCCTTCAATCTATATTTTTAAGTTTCTCGTTACAGTAACTCTTTGCCTGACTGGCAAATATAATGAAAATTAAATTCACGCAAGAGGAACAGAACCGTGCAATTTAATTTCACTGTAGAATGGAGGAAAGCTTGTGTCTGTTTTCGACATGTATTTTATAGCATGGTATTTGCTTGTTATATAAAAAAAAACAAGTAAAGGTGGTAATTATACAGAAGAGTTTGTGCGAAAGTGAAAATTGAACATCTTACCAATGTCAATATAATACGTCATGCGCGGTTTCTCATTTAGGGGGAGGGGGGTACTTTTGATCCACAAACTCAGGCTATTATCGGGTTCTGCAATGACAAGTAAAATTACCATACTTTGAAAACTATCGAGCACTTCGTTCGACATCTACAAGGATGCCCACCATTTCTTAGTTTTGTAAAAATTCAAAATTATTAGTATCATAGTAGGAGCTTGAAACCATTTGGTCTGTCCAGAAATGAGTTACTATACCAGAACTAATACGTTTACGGGTTCTCGAAATTTGCATTCTCATTTATGCAACAGTTCACTTGTCAACCCAAACACATAAGCATTCTATAATCAGGCCTACCCAACTACCAGACTCGGCACCGAATGATCCTGAATTCACCGGTAGATCAGACCACACTACGTATACCCGTTTTCAAGGTGCGTGTCAGATCGCATTACACAGTATCATACCCTGAACAAATTTTTAGTGGTGATGCAATGCTTTTCAACCCCGCTGAGAATCATCACTATCACATCACGTACTAGGCAAGAGCGGTGTCGCGTCTGATACTGTGTAATGCGATCTGACACACACCTTAAAAACGGGTAGTGTGGTCTGATCTACCGGTGAATTCAGGATCATTCGGTGCAGAGTCTGGTAGTTGGGTAGGCCTGATAATGGTATCTTAAACGCCGAACTAAAACGACGCATTGATCAGTATAGAAAAGTGTCTTTACTAAGTGTCTATAGTAAAGAGTTAAGAAAATTACTTTCTTTTTTATGTAGTAAAACTATTTGGAAGAGAAAACAACACAAAGCACTGATTGATATTAAATGATGGTTCTTTTTATTGTTGGACATTGTGACTATGATAAAGATGAAGACATGCGCAGATTGTCATATTATAGAACAGTAAATATATATATGTATATATTTAAATGTGTTATTGATATAATTATGATACAAGCAGAAAATGCATGGTAAGTTAGGACAGTAATATTCCCATCATAGGAGTATGCAAATAATATACATAAGTTACATGTCTCAATCTGGAAATAACAGCAGTAATAGGATATAAGTGATTTTACCATGTTGATAAAATACTTGGGAGTTGTACAGAAGACGAAAAATAAACAGCTTCAAAATATATACATACATCTAGATGATACAAATCTGTCTCAAGCAGTCAATGAATTTTTGCAAGGAAGAGACCAGTCAGGGGCTATACTTAAGACCAGCAACCCAGTGACTAACTGTACCAAAACCCACGTTTTGTATCATGGCAGATGACTCAATGTTGAATAGCACCATCACCTGATTGATGGTTTATAATGCATATTTAAAATCACCACCCACCCCCCTTCAAACACCCCATCATACAAAAAAAAAAAAAAAAAAAAAAAAAAAAAAAAAAAGACTAGTAGAAGTCCTCCATGTTAAATACAAATCAGTCAAGATGCTATCTTTATCAAAGTGTTAAACAATTTGCTTGGAAAAAATCAACTCTAGACACTTACGTACACTACCTTTTACTGACGAACATTCTGTTCCCATTCACATACAACATTGGTGTTGGTTCACAAGAAATCAATCTCAGCAGAAAAGCGAAGTACGAGATAATTAACAATTCTTTAAAATGGCAGTGTGTAGGGTGTCACTGTGTAGTGAATGCACGACTTAGGCGCAAATAAAATCAAAAGAACATGCTAAAAAAAACCATGAAGGATAGGAGTTGAAAAACATCACATGCATTATTAACAGATTATTTGGTTTCTACTATAAAAGGCAAATAATGTCTATCAATTTACATGCTACCAGTTGGCAAAAAAATTTGTTAACTGCATGAAGTACGGGTAGTGCATTTCTCTTTTACAAATGACCTCACTGGTTCAAAATTTGTCGTGTTCCTGGTACAAAGAGCATCACAATTTTGTTCTAGGGAAATAGGCTTCAAGACTAGGCAAGTCACGTGAAGTAACTACATACAGCATTTTGTCTGAAAAGCCAATATTTCTAAGAGTTACTGCAATCCCTGATGTCATGTCCAAAGAAAAAAATCTGTACTGACCATACCTGTAATTTTTGCCTGCAGAGGTCTTCTGTGCATCATGTAAAATCAACCTCTCATTTGTGACCAACATTCCTTTTTTAAGTTACAGTTCTCTAAAGAGATGGTTTATGGACAATATACAACCAATCTTCAATCTCTTAATAATACTGTCTCGTGCATCCCGTGTGCACATTTTAGCAACACGCATGATAATATCTCAGACATTTAGAACCCTCAAATACTTGTACACAAATCTTACTGCTCTTCCATTATCAGCAAAGTGTCCATATCTTTCCGAGTCCTCTAACCAAATTGAGGTA